GCTCTATTGCTAATAAAACGCGTTCGTGTGCCTAAATTTTGCGCCTTCGTCCGACAATGGCTCGTACGTGTTTTTTGCGGAATTCCCACATGAACATAGATACATCAGAATTTTTGGTGAAATCTTACCTTCTTTGAATCCATACTGAATTATATTTCTTGCTCCAGAGAAAATGTTTTGGTAACTGAACAGATCTCGTCAAGCAAGATGACCAATATTGACAAAGAGCTTGTGGACGCTGCTGATCGGGTGCTGCGATCAGTATGCATCGATATCTTGACGACAACACCGGGAGAATACTCTGTCATAGATACATTTGCGTAAGTTCACCACTTCCCAAATTAGCACACAAGATGCTTCTTACAGCTTGGATCCAGAAAATGTGAAAATAGATCCACTGTCCTTGCTTGATAACCTCATTCATCCGAGTGAGCCTGCGACATGGCTTTCTCCAGTTGTAGACTCGAATGGCAAAATTACCGATGTGGTTGAATACATTAGAGATGATGACGAGTTCGGTGCCGCCTCTGTGTCCATGTCCCTTAACAGGTACTCTGAATGACGATGGTGTTTGGTAAAGAAATTTATTTTTGATTTTTAGATCGCCCGCGGTAGACTCGACTAGCATTCGGGGCTCTTCTAGCAATGTGCCATTCTATCCAGGTCAGACTTCGGACAGTGTGTTCAATCCCTGGTTATTATACAAAGCATTTGAGGTGGTTTTGACAGCGCATTTGGCAACGTCATGGCTTTTGCAAGAGATGAGGACAATCAGGAGTCTGACGAAAAGGAGTTTTTCAGAGAAGAGGGTACTAAATACCGCAGTAATTAGGTTTTGAGCTTCCTACCTAGGATATTGCAGCCCTCTTAACATGTGCGCCTGGGATGCCTGGTGGTCTTAGTTTTTCAAAACCCAAGCAAACTTCTACGGAAGCTGCCAAGCCCGATAATACTCCAACTGTTGATGGAAACATAGACTTTGACTCGACTGATCTATTTGAACTCATGGATTTCGTAGGCGGAGGTGAGGGTTCCTGTTTTATCACCATCCAACAGTAATCAGCATCCTCCTTAGGTTCTCCTTTGGTAATCCCAACGGAAAGCTCCGGCCCTGAAGTTCAGATAGACTCAGCGCCAAAAGCTGAAGTAATACCCGATGGAACTGATTCTAGTGTTACGGAAGAAATTGAGGTGCCAAAGAGCTCTGCAGTCTGATTTAGCGAATTACTTTGACTCGCAAAGGATTCATTTTCAGGAGGCTTTGGTAACCCCGCTACCGAAACCAGCGCTCAAATTTGTTCCTCCTGAACGATTTGCTTATGCAAAACAGCTCGATCCTGCCTCGTGCGAAGCAGAATACAGAGCACTGGTACCAAATATGGCCAAAAAGGTGGACTTTCGAGTTTTTATAAGTTATGGGATGGGCTAGGTTTCAGCTGGCAATGCGCTTTTTTACTCTTTGCATGCAAACGGTAGCAAGCGACACACTACATTTGTTGTAGGTACTTTCGATTGGAAGTAGTGGTGGTATGAATAACTTTTGCTGGTCTTAGGTAAATCACGGCGTATCCTTAGAAATGCTCCAGCAATTCCCATTTGCAGTGTTGAATATCGCTTATTACCGTGAAGGATAAAACCGCAGCGATTGCTATAATCACTCTCATTTTTGACATGAAAACTTCAAACTTTTTACATTCTAAACTCCCCGCTTCCTGCTTCACTCTTCGATCCTCCTCCAACATTTGCTGCTTGGCTTGCCTTTTTTGTTCATTTCATTCTGTATTGCTTTTTATTTGAACGTTTGAAGTATGTGCCGGAGAGCTGATTTTATAAGGAATGTGAAGCAATGGAGATTTTTCATCAAAAATTTGAAACTTCGTTATCTGCCTTTTAACTTTTT